CTGCAAGTCTGTTTTTGTTTAGCTTTTGCAAGGTTGCTTTTGTTTTATATTGTTAAAATAAATTAGGAATATGTGATAGATATCCTGTATCTGATATCAGCATCTCCTACCATAGAGGAGATCCAAAGATTAACAATGAAAGCTTTAGTTGTTGTTTCTGCTGCTGCTGCTGCTAGTGGTGTGTGTGTGTGTGTGTGTGTGTGTGTGTGTGTGTGTGTGTGTGTGATCACGTATATACAAGTGAATGTGGAGGCCAGAGGTCAATATCAGAAATTGTATTTTGAGCACTGTCTCTGCCTTTCCAGCACTAGGATTTCAGCTGGGCTCCAGCACATGGGGTTTTTAAGTGCATGCTGTGGCTTGAACTCAGGCTTGTGGGACAAGCAGTTTACTGGCTGAGGCATCTCCACAGCCCTTCAGAACTTTTTTCTAACGCCTGCCTTCTAGTCACAATAGCTTGCTTTTCTGTCCTCCTCCTACTTGTTTTTTTCTTCTTTCTTCTTTTGGTAGTCCTGGGCATCAGGGAAGACTGACTAACTGATTTTTAGGTAGTCAGTTACACTATAATTTTGTTCTCCTTGTTAGTGATTGGCTGAGGGTAACGGGCTTATTTTTTTCAGACAAGAAGAGTCAAGGGCAGGTCTACAGGTGGATTGTGTGAGAGACTCTTGGTTCTTAAAAAGTGACACACACGAGGAAGAGATCACCTCTTTATCCTCTGCGATTTGATGAAGAAACAATGCCCTGGTGCTTGGAGCTGCTGCAGCCATCTTGTGGCCATGAAGGGAGACCCAGCCTATACAGTAAAAATGGAGGAACAGAAAAAAAATGGGTACAACTAGATGACCTTGTCACTTCAGTAAATTACAAATCCTTAGAGCCCCTTCTTGAAACATCTTATCAAATAAAAGAAGAATCCTCTATTGTTGAAGCCCCTACTTAGTTAGATTTTCTATTTCCTTCATTAAAAATCACCCTAACAGATATGGCATAATTTACTTAATTGTATGTGTGTATGAGGTAGCTTTTAAGGTTACTTACAGTTTTTTGTTTTAACTATCAATTTTTATTTTGGGTCATTTCAAGAAAAAAAAACACATAGCTTAGATAATAAGATAATGTGTGTGAGGGTGCAGGCAATAAGTTATAAAAAGAAGAAAAGAAACAAGAGTGAACTTGAATTATCTCAGGTCATCAGAGCTGAATCATTCTGCATCTCCACCCCCCTTTATTGCTCATTGCTGTCATCAGTAGTGGCTATCAATGTCAAGTGACATGCTGGAAGGAAAAATTGAGAAATACAGTCTCCAGAAAACACACTGGTGAATGTAACTACAAGTAGTCCTCCACAGCACAGGGTCTGCAGTGCGCTACAAGGTTTCTCAGTCCGCTCTCCTTCCTCGTTACAACAACATTAAAACTACATGGTAACAAGAAAAGCAACTCATGTCCATACTGATCTCATATTAAAATTTTCTGTAGTTTCTCCATAGTGTTAAATCCAGATGTGTTGTCACCTATAATGACAGTCTTCTGTTTCCCAAGCACCTCCCAAGAGCTGGCTGCCTGTCCAGAATTGAGACAGAGGTGTCTAAATATTTAAGTGAAGAAGTTCAAATGTCTATACTAACATTTGAAAAATGAACTGAAGAAATTCTCAGTGTTGTTTTTTTTTTTTTATTTTATCACCAGGGGTAATTGGATCTATTTATAATTTTAGACTTTGAATTTGCTGACTCTTAAAATATGTAGTTGTCTTAGAGTTAGAGTTTGTGAAGTTTTCCTCTTACACAACAACATATAGCAAAATAATAATACTAATTTCTGCAGTAATAAAGTGCTTTGCTACAATGACCTGCATTTCGAGCTAAGTGCCATTCTAGCACCTAACACTCACTCATAATTTCACACAGGCAATTGGTTACAATGTAATTAATATTCATAAATGTTCTTCAGGTCTCACACACAGATGACAAGATGATATAACACTGACAACTCAGTGGCAATTTGTAACTGCTGTTCATTAATATCTGTACTATGGCTGTGATTGGTGATCCTTCCTCCTCTCAGTCTTTAGTCAAGGCAATTGATTCATAAGCTGACTATAATGGAGTGAATAAGGAAAAACAGGCTAATCTAAAACATAAACAATAACTCTTCCCTGAACTAAAAAAATCTAGCAGCTCTATTTCCCAAGACACAAGATCTGCCTTGTTGTCACAGTATCTTAAGAGAGTGCCTCACACAAGATTCATTTCCTGCATACTTGAGCATAAAAAAGAGAGAGAGAAAAAACCCTCAGAGTTTGGAGCAGAATCGACTATTCAGAACTTTACCTGTAATCATGAAGAATGTTTGGAGTCAACAGACAGAGCACAGTACCATCTGACTATATCTATTAAACTGTAGCTATTAAACTAAGCTCTATCACATAGATTTTTAAAGATTTTAAAGTCAAGCAGTCAAGATTCCTAAAATGTGCCACTAGATGCATCAAGGCAAAACAGATAATAAAAAAGCAGTGCAAAGCAAGGTGTGGTGGCCCATGCCTGTTTTTCCAGCATGTGTGTGGGTGTGGGGGCGAGGTAGAAGAATGAAAGCCAGTGTGGATACAAAGTAAGTTCTTGGCCAGCTTGGGCTGCAGTGGAAGACCTTGTCTGTAAATAAAACAATAGCAAAAATGAAACCAAAAAGAAGTGGCAACCGCCACAAGATTTGGCACTGAAAAGCATACAACAAACATTTGTTAAATTAAGGAATAAGGAAATAAATTGTATGTGAATTGACCTTGGCTTTTGAAATGGTATATGGATGGGAAGAGGAACTGCCTTCTCGGCTTTCTCCTCTGTGCTTCCTCATTCACTTATGAGTCTTGTTTTATGAACTAGAATAAGGGAAAGAAACAATACCCTGCATCAGTCTCCATGTCTGTGGTAGGCTCCAGGACATGCTTGCATCTTGGTAATGGACAGGAGTCATTTTTTATAATTTAGCTGACATTTGTGCAGTGGAACTAAGATGCTTGTAGAATGTAGGGGTGGCTGGGGCTGTGAGCCTGACTACATGGAAAATGCCTGAAAGATTAGGGTGGAGGGTTCTCTAGTTTCTCTAGGGACAGACAATGTCTAGCCTGCCCTAAAGTATTCAAATCTTCCATTTCAAGGCAGGCAGAATCTTGAGATAGCAAGGGGAGCAGAGGTCACAGAGCTAGTTTTGTACAAACAGAAGAAAACAAACAGCTGTTTAATTCCTCTAAACACCAACACACACACACACACATACACACACACACACACACACACACACACACACACACAGTCCTGACCCCCCTAGTGAAGGCTTTGAGCTTTCTCTAGGGATGCATTTGTGTTGTTATAGATACACAGACAGTTGAGGAGACACTTTGTTGTAGAGATGGAGCTCCTGTGAGGCAGAGAGGTGACTTTTTCTAGCTCCCTTACAGGAGGAATCTGAGATGCTTTAAACGTCCTGGGAAATTGTATCACTGGGGAGAAATTTCAAATCTTATCTTCAAATCCCTAAAAGGGCATGTCGCTTGATATCCCTAAAGGTTGAACAAGCCAACCTTGCACAAATTAAGTTTTAGAAAGAAATCTGAGGATGCCTAATTCTGCCTGTTACTATTAAACTATTCATGAGAGCCTCCTGGGCCACTGGGCCACAGGTTCCATGGGTGTTCTCCGAATTGAGTCATTTTCTTTCGGTTGGCACCACACTGCTGTTTACCTCTACCCAGAGCCTTCCACCCAAATCCTACTGACTTCAGGACTGTCACTGTCCTACTGTCCTGTGCTCCGGCCCCACTTGGGAAACACTGACCGGCTTCACATCACTCATCTACTGGGAGCAGCCTACACTTGACATTTTCCCAAGGTCAAAACTTGGCAAGTGACCTCACTCACTTCACTTGTGGAGAAATCCTAACCTTCTGGCAGAGCTGATCTCCACCCTTGGAAAGAAATATTGTGTGCAAACACAAGTAGTTTCTCCCTCTTCCTCTTCCGGTATCTTCAGTATCTTCCTGTTCTGCAGGAGAATTTCTTTTCTTTATTTTATTAATTACACTTTATTCACTTTGTATCCCCCCATCTGCAGGAGAATTTTATACTCGACCCCCCAAAGGCAGGATAAAGTCTCTGTTTATAGTAAGAAATCAGTGTTCAAAGGCTAAGAGCAGACAGGTCAAGGACTTCCAGAACACCAAGCTCCCTTCTCTGCCCTGGTTGTGTGTTTCTTGCCATCAGGGCCTTTTAAGGGTATAACAGCAAACAGAGTTATCAACAATGATTACGATGGTACACTTACCTGAAGAAACAACCTTAATAAACACAACGACTAGAATAAACAAGACCCCAAGGCTATTCAATTTTATGTATTTGAAAGAGAAAGGGCATGATCCCTTTGCAAAGTGCCACGGTACAGGAAAGGGAAGTGCTCAGATTTGTTCGGAGGGAGAACTGGAAGTCCTGTTTTTAAAACTTGGGAAGAGAGAACACCCTTCTCATCGACTCTTCAGGAGTTGCCCTCCTCCAGAACACGCAGGGACAGAAGTTGACTAGCAATACACATCTCAGCAAGCATTGATTCAAGAACGGTTTTATTTTGAAAATATGGTCTTTAAAGATAAATTTGTTTTCCGGTTTCCATGTCTAGGTGCATCCGAAAAGAATCAAAACAAACTAAACAACAGGACTAAGACCCACGACATTATGTACAGAGCTCTAAAATGAGCCGTGAATATGTCTATCTACAAGGATCTAGCACAGGCTGGTGGTGGCTGCAGGGGTAGTGCGCGGCTTTCTAGAGAGTTCTGTCTTCCGGAAGAACAGACAGGTCCCTGGAGCTGCAGGTGCAGCTGCAGCCGGGGAAGCGCTGGGGTCAGTGAGGGTGGGGTGGGCCCCTCGGCTGAGGGTGGGCCCGGGGGTGGGAAGCGTCTGGGGGAGGGAGCCAAGGCCGCTCAGGACCGATCCTGGGCACCGCTAGAAGTTCTGCCGCGGGGTGTGCGTCAGGCTGTGCCGCCGCAGATCACAGTTTCGCCTGAACACTTTCCCGCACCGCTCGCAGCTGTAGGGCTTGATGTCTGTATGGGTGAGAAGGTGAGTTTTCAGATTACTTCTCTGATTAAAGGTTCTTCCACATGTGGGGCATTTGTGTGGAGATTCCTGTTCAGATGTGAAGCAAGGCAAAGGGTTAATCCTTCACAGCACCACTGCGCCCTCCTCGACAATTTCTGTCCCATCCGTCTCAAGCCTTAACATAACAAGCGCATGACAGCAGAAGAGGGGGCCTGTAGGGCCAGGTCTGAGTTCCTAATCCGCCGATCGTGAACACACGAGCAGGCGCCCCGCAGAGGCCCAATTGCACTGATAAGACCAGCTCGGTGGGCCTCATATTTCATCGCTGTGTCAAGGACAAGAAGGGGGGAGCTAATTCTCTCCTAAGAAACCGCATTCTCCCGGGGAATGAAGCTCCTGTTTGCTGGAAAATTAAACTATTCCTCAACGTCCTGAAAGCTACCAATTACGAGGCCCCTGGGAAAAAGCATATGGGATGGCAGCGTGGCCCCACTGTCAAAGTTACCTTTATTTCCCCCCAAACATGGAAATTTTAAACGCAGAGCAGATGGGACCAAAAACAAAAACAAAACAAAACCCCCACTACCATTAGAATTTATTATAAGTCCTCCAGCCTATTCGTTAAGAAAAGTTCTTTGTTACATAATAATAATTTTATATTTAAAAAAAATGTTGCTTTCCCTCCGCCCCAGAACTCTAATCTAAGAAGAGCTGTTAACGAGACATCCTGACTTGAACACTTTTGGTAAAGCCATAATTAAAAAACAAAATGAAGCATTCACTTTTAAAGGAAGAAAATAAACTTACCTGCATATGTAAAGTTTTGTGAACTGCTAGAGTTCTAGACTGACAAAATCCTTTCCCACACTCCTGACATTTGAACGGCTTTTCTTTGGAATGTATATACCTGAAAATCAATACAAGGGTTCATTGAAATGATCATCCCCGTAGTTTAGGGTTTTCTTATTACAGTTACTCCAACGAAATGTCGAGAGGGCAAAGGAAGCACAGTTTCTATTATTTATGTTGTTTTTGGACGTTCTGTGTAATCCTGTTTATGGTTAACCTCAGCTAACAGACTCTTCGAAACATTCACGAGCAGTCCGGCTTTAGCTGTACTTGACCGCCCTCTGTGGCCTGCTTCTGGGGCTGGAAGAGCGGCCCAAAGGGCCCTCCAGGCCGCCAGGCTTTTCTCCGGGATTTAAAATGGCCAAATCGAGCCCAAAGGCAAGGCTGGGTGGGGTGGCGGCTGATTTTGCGCACACCACACATCCTCGAGGACGCTGTCCCATCTCAGAACTACGCATAGATGCCGGAGAAACATCCACACCCTAGCACAATTATTTTAACCGGATGTTCTTCACTAATTCCGGGCGTGGAAATACGTGGGAGCCCTTACTAAATACACTGATCTCGAGACCTCCCCCCCAAAGAATAAGAAACCGAGTGCTCTCGGGCATTGGGGGGGGGCAACCAGGGAACCCGGCAGATTCTCCACAGCAGCCTAAACCTGCCCTATTCACCCAGACTAGCGGGAGGACCCCACAGCCCTGCCGCCTCGAGCCCCTCGCTAGGTACCTAGGCCGACCCAGAGAAAACAATTCCTCGCGCCTAGTCCGGATTTTTCCTGTTCAGGGACCGAGGGAGGCCCTTTCTCATCCCAAAGAACGCGGGGGCGACAGGCTGGGGGGGGGCAGGCTAGGGGGGCGGCAGGCTGGGGGAGGTGCAGGCTGGGGGGAGGTGTAGGCTTGGGGGCGGTGTAGGCTGGGGGGCGGCAGGCTTGGGGAGGTGCAGGCTGGGGGGAGGTGTAGGCTGGGGGGCGGCAGGCTGGGGGAGGTGCAGGCTGGGGAGAGATGTAGGCTGGGGGGCGGCAGGCTGGGGGAGGTGCAGGCTGGGGAGAGATGTAGGCTGGGGGGCGGCAGGCTGGGGGAGGTGCAGGCGGGGGGGGGGGGAGGCGGGGGGGCGGCAGGCTGGGGGCGGCAGGCTGGGGGGATTTTAGCGCGGTCTGCGCAGCCTCACCTGTGGTCGCGGAGGTGGTCCTGCCTCCGGAAGGCCTTGTGGCAGATGTCACACGTGTACGGCCTCTCGTCCGTGTGCGTCCTCTCGTGGATGAGCAAATTGTAGGATTTCGTGAAGTGTCGGCCGCAGAACTTGCAGATGAACTCCTTCTTGGTTTTGGAGGGCAGCCTCCCTCGGGAGGGCTTTCTGTCTGGAGTCAGTTTCCCGAGGCCAGAGACGGGGCCCCCCAGCCCCGGGCTCAGCTTGCTCAGGTCTCCCACCTTCGGGGGATCTTCTTGCGTGGCGGCCACCGCCAAGTTGGCAAAGTCAAATCGGGGCCGGTCCTTGTGCAGGGCGGGGAGGACGTGGGCGATGGCGCCCTGCTTGGGGTGGAGCAGGTGCGTGGTGAGGGGCAGCGCGGGGAGCGGGAAGCGGGCGTCCACCAGGCCCTGCGCGGCCGCCACCTCGGCGAGGGCGGAGCGGGCGAGCTCGTGCACCCCGGGGTAGCCCAGCGTCCAGTGGTTCATGTGCATGGCCTGCACGGCGCTGAGCCCGTACAGGCCCTGCAGGTGGTCCACCGCGGCGGGGAAGGTGTTCACCGCCTGCAGGAAGGAGTAGTTGGTGAGCTGCAGCGACGGGTGCAGCGGGATGGGCGCCGGCAGGGCCTTGCTCCCCATCTTCCGGAGAGCTCCCGAGGGGGGCCGGGAGCCGCCCCTGTCTTCCAGGTCTCAGAGGCCGGAGAGCGGGAGAGGGAAAAAGCCCCCGAAACGGCAGCAGGCACAGGAAGCCCTGAAAATATCGGGGAGAGAGAGGGGACGGGAGGGAGACTGGTTATTAGCCAGCCCGGAGTCCTAGGGCGACGTGGGCCGCGGCGCCTCCTAAGCTTCCTCCAGTCTCCAGGACCAGCCCGTGAGTCCGCACGGTGAGTGCCAGGGCCTGGGCAGCAAGCGGCCTTCGAGGAAGACCGGATTCCGGGAGAGGGGGCTCAGGCCAGGGAGAGAGCGGCCCCGGCGCCTACCAGCCGGCACCCTTGGTGCGCGCCTCCCCCTAGGAGGGAGATCCCCAGGATGAGGGTGAAGACCCGCAGGCCGCAGAGCCACTGGTAGCGCGTGGAGCTCGCAAGCCCCTGGGACAGACTGCGGGTTGTGGTTCTGATCTGGAACCCCAAAGCCTGGTTCGAGCCACGTGCCGGCCCAGGTTCTCCCCAAGCAGCGTCCTTCTCAGGGCGCCTTTCTCGCCCCGAGCTCTCCGACCTCCTCGGCTCTAGCAAGGCTCCGCGTCTTCTCCTGCTGACCTTGCTGCTTTTCGTTTTCTTTCTCTGCCTTAGTCCCATTCACCAGCAGGGAGGGCACCGCAGGAAAGAAAAGTGCCATCTCGGGGGTTAGGTTCACCAGGACTCACCCCTCTTCCTTGGGGTCTGGTCTCCTCCCACCCCCACCAGGATCCCTTTCAAGGCAGTTCAGACTCCAGCCTGGTTCCCCTGGGTGAGGATGCAGAAAGTTCGGAACCCCCTTTCCAAGACTGGTAGCTGGGCTCTAGGGAGAAGGGGCTGCTTCCTGGTCTGCCACCCGGGGAGCCCTGGGAGGAGAGGAAAGGGGTGAGGCCCAGGAGGCCGCAGGGAAAGGATCTGCTGGGGGTCCTCGCGCAGGGTGCGGGAGCGGGTTCCCTGGAGCCCCTCAGCTGCGGTCACAGTGGAACCACCGTCTCCCGCAGCCAACCCCTGTTAGAAGCAGGTTCTGGCAGCCACCTAGGTGGCCCCCAAGCCAGGGTTTAGAGCTAAGAGCGTCGCCAGCCAAGGAAGCAAGCTGGCCAGGTGCACCACTAACCCTGACACCCGAGGTTCTGGACTAGTCAGGGAGATGAAAGGCCTGCCCAGATCTCTCTGCCCACCTCATCATTTTTGCACCATATTTTCTACCCCAAAGCGTTCTGAAGTGGTGCTTGGGCGTCTGTCTGCCAGCAGGCTTAGGAGGCCGCGTTAATGACAGCGCTCTGGCTGGGAGCAGCCGCTTCTCTGGCCCCCACCTTCCTCCACTGTTTGGAACAGTTTGGAGACAAGAGATTTATTAATGAACTGCTTCTGCCTGGTGGTGTGCGGCCTGGGAGTTCAGGCAGGGAGTTAATGAGAGGTGTGTAACAGTCAGAGGGTCTCAGTCAGACCATTCAACCGAAACCGTAAACTCCCGTTAGTAATAAACTTTCCCACCGCACAAATCACTATTCACTTTTGTTCAGCCGCAACTCTCAGACCTTCTCGTTATGAAGTGTGCGTGTGTAATATCACTATTTTCTCTTTAATTAAAAAAATAAACATCTTTATTTCCTTCTCCATGGGCAATGAGGATTTTTCCAGAGTCAAAGCATTTTCCTCTAGTGTTGAAAAGCAGCCTCTCTCCTGCATCAAAATGAAACCTAAATTTTTTTCGGGGGGGGGTATTCCCAGACTAGATTTCTTGGAAATAAATACAGCAACGCATTCTTCTCAGCAAAGGCTGCTCGGGGCAGGAGACTATCAAAATTGACGATTTTTGACTCTAAATGCTCTAAGTAAACTTTGCCATAAAGGTCACAATCTTAATTCTGTCTGAAGAGACCTGAGTGTGGCTTTCCTCCTCCCAAACGTTTACACTGCAGAAACGAGACGTTTGTAATTTCTGCTGGTTCCGTATTGGCACTTCATGGAAGTTTGCTTTAATTTTCAAGAGTCACCTGGCAGAGGAGGGCAAGCCAGTGTGCCCTCTGAAACTCTTCCACCAGCAGAATTCCCCTCAACACCTACCAAACACCAACGCCGTAATAAATAGGGAGCTGAGACGCCCGGGCTCCTGTTTGTCGCTAACAGTGTCTGCGACTTAAGCTAACTGTGCTTAAGTCAATGCACAGACCTGAGGTACTTTCGTTTTGTTGGGGCCGGAGCACACTCCACCTCAGTGACTGCCACTTTTAATTTTGCGAGGAGAGAAAGTTCAGTGCGGATAAGACTACATTTCTTTATCAGTTCGCAATGGAATCCCCAGGCATGTCAGACATTTGTTAAATTTAGTTCCACCGGCTGTCAGCAAGGGAGAGTTGTACATATTAATTCCAGTTTGGTAAAATTTTTGACACACGGGAGAACACAGGGTCCCTGGTAAAAGGATTTAAAAAACCTCCAGTCGTTATACTGACTTATCTAAAAATAATACAGTTTGGGGTCCTCTGCTAAACCCTGTGTATTGGTTTCTGAGTTAAATGACGGATGGATGGATAGGCACGCTTGCTGAATTTCAGTTCAGTACAACAGACTTTTAGATAAGCCAGAGGGTTACAGTAGAAAGAGATCTAAGATCACGATGGGGTAGAAGGACTTGTTGGGGGGGGGGGGCAGCCACAGGTTCCTGCCCCTTCTCTGTGCCTCTGCCTTCCCAAGGAGTTAATTAAATTAAGATGCCTTCCGCACCCTCGCTCCCCGGATCATTTTCTCGTTCTGTCCAAGATCGCGGTTTGCGGAGCACAGTAGCTGTGTGCACCCAGTTTCGCTTCGGGCGCAGTCGGTGCTCTTTTGTTCTCTGCTCCCAGGTAGGGAGACCCATCCAGCGCCGGGGCCTCCACACACCTTGCCCGCCCGCCCGCCCTCCTACAACCCCGGCTCCTTGCCGGGCTATTTCTCCACCACGCGAGCGAGCGTCTCAGCCGCTGGGGAGCTCGCCCGCTGCCCTGTCGGCGAGGGGCGCAGTAGGAAGAGGCCAGCGCGCGCTCGGACAGTGCAACGGCTTTCGGAGCAGCCGGCTGAGCACACCGTGTGTGTCCCCCCTCGAGCTTAGGAAGCGCGGGCCCGGCCTTGCTGGACCGGGCGCGACCCACGGCCGGTGGGACGTGGCCACGAAGTACGACGGCTGGACTTGAGGAGAGCGGCCCAACGGGCCAGTCTCCCTCAGCAAAACTAAGGGGCAGCGCACACAGCGCCGCGAGCCTATCAGCGGGAGTGGGATCCGAGCAAGGCAAACCCAGGGCCGGGCCGGGGCCCCGCGAGCGCCCTCCCCTCTCTTCCCGGGACGGCTACCGCGGGGGGGGGAGCGCACTCACCGCCAGCACCCGGGTCTGCCGGGGCCCCGCAGGTCAGGCTAGGTCCGGGCGGCCGGACGCGCAGCTCGGGAAGGGCCCGAGGGCCAGGCTGGGCGGACCTCTGGTTCGGCGCGGCGTCCCGGGAACCGAGGACATGATCTGGGAGCGAGAGCGACAGCGGGACGCGGTCCCCGCCAGTCCGCGGACGCGGAGGGGAAGGAGCGATCCTTCTCCGCGCAGGGCTCAGCGCTCGCCCAGCCCCGGGCGCCTAGGCCCGCCTCTGGCCGCCGAGCGAGGGCGCCGCCGGAGCCCGGAGCCCCGCAGGGCCATCACCCTCCCGCCGCGGGCGCGCAGAGCTCACGGCTGCCCGCGGCCCGCCCAGGCTGCGCGGGGTCCCGGTCCCCGCTTTAGTAGCGGCCCCGCCCCCTCCCCGCGGCCGCCCTCCCGGCCCCGCCTCCCTCCCGGCGCCGCTAATGGTCCACTCTGTTTACTTGTGTTTGGATAGCAACTGAGTCTTAAAGGCACAGGTTGGCTGGAGGTTTCTGTCAACCCACACACAAGGTGACTCAATTCGGGCCGCACACACGGAGACCACGCCCATCCTCTCCTTTTGGAGGGCACTTTTCCCTACTCCGCGGGAAGCTCAGCTGCTGGGGCTTTGCTCTTCCGACTCCGCAGAGAAGTCCAAAGGGCATTTCTCATTTTGTACTTTTACGTGGTTAGCCGGCTGGCTTCATTTCCACGTCTTAACAGGTTTAATGCAGCCATCTGTTTCAAGGGGCTACGGCCATCACGCCCAGATCTCCTTCGACAGCACACACCGCCCTCCCCCAGGGTAAAAGTACTCTGTCCACACTTTCGGTCAATTAGGGCTATATGTGCAGTCTGGTTTCCTCCCGTTTTCAAAACGAAGTTTGTTTACGAAGGCGACAACTGACTAATTTCGTGATCAGTGCAGAGGCATGTGGAATGTTCCAGAAGAAATTTCTTCCACTATCGATGCTTTAATCAGCTAATGTACATTTCATAAGCAGCTAACCAACTTGGGCAAGGGAGTGGGCATCTGCAATCCATTGGCAGACAATAAAGAGCCCATCTGGAATGGGTGAAGAACAATCATTTTAAAATTTCAGGAAAATGCTATTCCAGTGTCTCAAAACATGCATTATCTTCACTCTCAGCAAAAATTGAGGTCATTGTTCAGCCGCCCGTAAAAATTAATCGAATTTGACTGTTAGGTTTCCTGGTTCTCCTGAAGGTTTAGTTTTGTAAGCGTGTAAACGAGAAGGCATCCTAGCCCCTCTGGAAACGAGTGACCGGCGATGCCCTTCCAGCGGCTCCATTTCAGCCTCGATGCCCAACACAGCTAAGCAAACCGACCCCGGTCCCAGACGACGCGTGGAGGGCCCTTTCGCTGGCCGGTTCTTGGCGACGCATCGATCTTTTAAAGAAACTGTACAATTCAAAAGCGTTCTGCCAACAGATGCTTTCGCTGGCCTCCCCTCACGGTCTGCGAGGAAGTGGACGGACGCAGGTAAGGTCTGTCGGCGGGGAGCGGGGAGCAGGCGACGCTGCGGGCAGCATCTCATGGACATAGAGGCCTTTTTATCTTCCTCTGGTCGAGGTGAACAGAAATTTTCGTTGCTTT